TTTGTCCATTTCAAAAAAACGAAGAGCTGAATCAGCTCTGTCAGGACTTGGACCCGTGGCTTCAGGGAATGTCAGAAGTTCAGGCCTTTAATTAGAATGACTAAGCCATCTCCCCTCATCTGAAAGCAGTAGGATACTGAGAAATTTGAGCTAGGGTGCATTTTTACCAGTAAACTCTAAGTTTGGTAGCCAAAATCAAAAAAAAAAAAAAAAAAATCTGTTAAGCTCTTTTGACCCATGCTCTTCATCTCTATCTTTCCCTGCTGTCAAATATCAAAGGACTTTCCTGAACTCAAGAGAGAAAACCTTAACAGTTTCTTTCAGCAAAAACTAAAATGTACCAGGAGCTAGCAAAGGAAGAAAGGAATACTAAGTCTTCGTTCCTTCTTTTCTCTTCTTTTATTCTTGCCTCTCCTTTCATTCCGGAAAACAAGTCAGAAGAGCCCTAAAGTTAATCAAGAATCATGTGTGCAAGATGCCTATGTGCTGAGAATAATGTTAGGCACATTTCAAATAGGAGATACATCTCATAGGTCAGTTTTAATCTGAAAAGGAATAGAATGTAATAAATATAACTTAATAGTCGGGAGAATATAACATTACGTTTTCCTCAACCTTTTGGAAAACCTAAGTAGACGGGTCAACATTCGTTGCTCTTAAGTTATTAATTCTTCTCTTCTCCTCTATCCAGTTCTTCCTGTACTTTGAGTACAACTACCTTTACCTGTAAAACTTGTAGGTAGGACCACTGTGAGTCATGTGTGCCTATTGAAAAGTGGAAGTTTTCCTATTCGTGTTCCCATCTGGAACCAGAATGGCAGACACTGGGAAGACAGTTATTACTGCCTTCTACGGTCTCCCATCCAGGATCCTGTCTATTATGTTGATCAGTACCAGCTGCTTCAGAAAGAGGTTGAATACTCCCCATAATGGACAATTATAGGATAACCCACTTGCAGGGGAAGTTTTTTCCTAATCCCTGTCAATTAGTGGTTGGTTTATGCCCTGAAGCAGGAGGATCTATATCCCTTAAATACAGTATCATGTTTAAAGCAATAGTATCTGTTCACATTAGCAATATTAATGTTTATTCCTTTTTTAGGATGGAAATTAGAGACAATTAGAAATGAAAAAGATCTGTTGGGTCATTTTTTGCCCATGCTTTGGCAACTGCAGGAGGTTTCCTCTGCCAGGTTCTCCAGTGTGTTTTTCACACTAGTTTTAAATTATTAATTCTTCAAGGTTTAAACCAGTTTGCATGAGAGACTCTCCTCTAGCCCAGCAGATTTCAGTGTCTCCTCTACATGGTATTCTACATGGAGCCTCATTAGAGCAGTGTAGAGAAGGGATTATCACCTCTGCAGATGTGATAATGTCTCTTCATATGTAGCCCAGACTCATATTAGTTAATTTTTCCTACCATATCACATTGCAAACTGACATCCAGCTTGTTATATACTGTTGTGCAAGTTTTTTTTTTCACTTTTACCACTTTTCTTGCTGCTAAATAACTGTTTTGTATTATTTCCCTCCAGAAGTTTTACTTTGCATTTCTGAGGCACTCATATAATTTTATATAATAGCACAATATAATTTCCTGCCCACATAATTACCTTCCCTGTGTCCCTCTGCATTACTTCCCTGTTCTCAGTGCTGTGCACAATAACTGCCAATTTATTATTATTATCTGCAGATTTAATTGGTGTGCTGCTCTGTATATCTTCTGTATGGTCATTAAAAGTGTTGGCTGAAATCTTGGCCTCACTGAAGTCAGTGAAAAAGTTGCTGTTGATTTCAGTGGGGCCTCAGTGAAAGAAGTGTTAGTTGCCTAACATTTGCCATAGATAAAACATGCACAGAGGCAGTTACTTCCAAGTAGCTGACCTGCTGTGAGATCACATCCTAACCTACCCCTCAGTAATTATGAGGCAGTACTCTAAATGTGCTCTTGATTGGCACATAGAGAGCATGACATTGGCTGTCCCCCTGTTGTCATGTGTTCCATTCTTTTGGGGAAGTGATGATGCTGAGGGGAGATGCCTATGTATTAAGAACAAATGTTAGGCACATTTTAAGTGAGAAATGCATCTCATAGGTTGGTTTTCTCTTAACATTTCTTGGGTCTATCAATGTAGCCAATATGGGAACACTGCTGTCTCACCAGTATTGGGCCATATTGCCTCCGTGCAGGTTGATACAGACAGCCAGTCCTCATTGGGTGCATCTACACAAGAAGCTTTACTGCACAGCAGACCAATTTGCTACGCAGTAAAGCATTACTATCTACACGTGCACAGCTATTAGGGTATGCAAAACTAATTTAAAGAATGCAGCTGGGTAGGCTTCTAAAAGACAAGTACTACCATGCTGCGGTTGGGGGGGGTGGGGGGCGCGGGAAGTGTTGTGCACAGCAGCCCTCTTGTAGACATTGCCCTGGCTGGCTGAGGTATTGGATGCTTCATCACCCTCCACCCCAGCCAACTGCCTAGCAGCACGTGGAGGCAGGGGGGCAGCCAGCCCAGAGCTACTCCCCCATCCCTGTGCACTGTAGAGCCCCTGTGCTGAGGCACCCTGTGCCCCAGCCAGCTGGGGAGTGGCACATGGAGATGGGGGAGCAGCCAGTCCAGGGCTGCTTCCTTGTCTCTACGTGCTGCAGAACACCTGCACTGGGGCACACTGAGCCCCAGCCAGCTGTTCTGCGCTCTGTGGCTGGCTGGGGTGCAGTGTGCTTAGCACAGGGGCTCAGCAGAGCATGTTCAAACAGTTTGCCTGGGAGCAAAAAATGGGAGCAAAAAATTGTGGAGCAATAAGCTCCACAGTTTATTGGTCCACATTAATTGCATGTATAGACTGCACTGACTACCATAGTTAGTCTATTTTACCTTTCCGCTTTAGTAACAATATTTCATATGTTTCTCATCTCACCATCTTGTACCTTTTATAGTCTTTTGCATAGATATAAAATGTTAACATTAGGAGTTTATAGTTCTTTCTACATTGCTCTTGACTCACACAAGTATGACTGCATGTATTTGAATGTCCTCTGTCAAAAGTCCTAAAATTTGTTACTAGCCAACAAATTCTGTCATTGAGCAATCCCTGAACTTAATAATTCCTTGAGACCATTTTAATCCCTCTCATTAATCAATACCGTTTTATGACCTTTCAGCCTATATTTTGCAACAGTACTCAGGCCTTTTTAAATTCACTTTCATGTAAGATTTTCTGATGCACTGTATGTAAGATTTTATGAAAGTCAAGATACATCACACCTGCTGCATTCTTTTTGTCCATTAATTTCATAATTCAATCCAAAAGGCTATCTGAGTTCTCAGACAGAGTTTTTCTATTTCCTTTCCCCTTCCCACTCCCACCAATGATTCTCTTGTTTTTTCAATGGAGCTAAATTAACTGGATTATGAAATCTGTGGGTTTGCCATGCCTGTGACTTTCAGCACAAAAATGGTGATTTTAAATGTTTTCTCATAACAAGTCATGGTAATCTCCTGACTTCTCTAGGAATTTTACTTGGTCAGTAAATAGGGTTGTGAAGTATGAGGGAATGATGAGAGTTTGTGAAAGGTTTTGATCTATTGTTTATTTACAATTAAATTGTTTTTATAGTTATTAAAAAATGAGGACTATTTTTTGAGTTTTGTTTTTATAAAGGACTGATCTTGCTCCCACTGAAGCAATTTCAGACACCTCTATATAATTCAATAGGAGTTACAAGATCTCCCAAATCTGTGCATTTTGAATGTTGCGCCTTGCAGTTTCTTTTCTTTCCCTCCTGCCCTCCCCTATAATAGAATTTAGTTGCCAGGCTGCTATACTTGTTTTTCTTCTAAAAATGGTACCACAGTTGGGTTTTTCTAGCTACACAACTTTCACAAATAATTACCAATAGCTGAGTCAATTCATTAGTTAATTTATTTTAGGAACCACATATGCTTGTCATCAGGATTTGCTGATTTACAGAGATTTCAGCTTTTCTATGCCAGCCGTTTTTTACCTGTTTTTGTCAATAGTTATGCTGACATAGGATAGAATTTTTGAAAGCACAAAAGTCTCGTTTTCATTTTTAAAACCACGTCTTTCAATGAGACTTGCCATTTGTCTACACAACGAATTAAGACACAGTTCTAAGCATATGTTGCTAAATCAAAGCTACTACAGATAGCAGTAGCAGTAAATACACGCTAGCACAAATTTTAGCATGGGTTAGGAATATAAGCTTGTACCAAGGGTCTGTGACTTCAGTTCCTCATAGATTTTATGCATCTTCTTCATTACTTCTTGATTTTTTTTTCTTGTTGTGACAGACACCCCATTTCCACAGGCCCTTACATGTAAAACTTAATCCTATGAATAGTCCCAATGAACTCAGTGGTACTGACATGAATACAGGTATGCATGTAATAATGGATTTATAGAATCAGACTCAAAAAATTCAAATGTGAGCCAGTAAGTGTCCTGTTCAGGTAGCTGAGCCACACTTAGGCCTCCCTATATGTGAAAATCCAGGATGTCTTTCCCTACCGTTGGATATTGTGGTTTCTGGATCATGAGTTTGTCCTCTATATAATTTAGGGATGTCTTTGATGATCCATGCTCAGCTATATTTGTTATCCACCAGATGTCTGGGTAGTTAAACTCACTCATGAATACAGTATCCTGTGGTTTTGAACTCTTCAGTAGTTAGTCTGGGATTTTTTTTTTCCCCTTCTCATTTTCATCCCTTCTCCTGGTCCACTGCAGTCTCGTCTTTCTTTTTAATTTACTACATCCTCATGCCAAAGATTTTACTGCCACCCTCTGCATTATCATATGGTATGCCACTAGTTTCAATGTATGTCTTATACTATAGTGTGTGTGTATGCAATTGATTTCCCACAGGGACCATTTTCTTACACTGTAAGTTAAGAAAAGCCTTTTACTTTGGCTGTGTGTGGGTCCTTTTAAATTCACCTAACAACCCCACTTTTCTGTAATCTTGTCAGGCCACCAGTAGAAGACAGTCAAACCCTTTTGACCCCAGTGGTGAGCTGTGGGCCCCCAGGAGCACTGCTGACACGGCCTGTCATTCTAACTATGCACCATTGCGCAGAGCCAAACACAGAGGACTGGAAGATACAGCTGAAAAACCAAGCAGCTCAGGGCCAGTGGGAGGTAAGTTCATGATAGGATCACACCCGTCCAACCATATTTATCTTAAAGATGCCTTTTAAAATAACCAAATATTTAAATACCATATTTTCTCATACATAACACCCCATCTATGCCCTCCCTGCCCAAATAAGATACATACCTTGTTTTTGAAAGATAGAATGAAGAAAAATATCTTTCCTTAAAAATACTGGTAAGTAGCAGTAAGTAACTGAGTAGCAGGAGCTAGGATCCCAGCATGTCATTGTTCTGCTCTCTGGGCACATCTACACGTGCTATTAAGGTGAAGAAATAACCTCCGGTGCTTTTCGCATAATAATTCCCTGGTGTAGTCTCTTCTTTGCATAGGCCATTCACATTGTTGGAGAGTACAGTTCAGCTATAATTCAGAGAAAGAGTGGAATAAACTTGGGGATGCAAACCAGTCTTTTGTGGATATTTATGCCAAAAAATGAATATAGTCACACGATTCAGCATAGCAGGCCATGTACACCCAGAAGAGGCTCACAGATGCATCCGTGTGGGGGAGATTGCAGAGTGCCATCTGCCTGGCTCTTGTTTCTTAGGACAGGATTCTGTTTACCTACTGGATGACCAAACTACAGCTTTATGACCTGACTGTATGTTACCCAACTGAAGAGTATAAGCAATTTTGTTACCCCGCTGTGGGCATGTATGTGCCCCTCTTATAAGAACAGAGAGACATCTACATGTCTCTGTCGGGTAATCCTATTCCTATAATAATAGGGGCACTTACATTTGCAGAGGGGGTAATAGAAATGTTCTTACATTTTCAGGCCCAGACCTGAAGAAGGACTCTGTTCCTGAAAGCTTGTCCATCATCTCTCCCAACTTCACAGTTGGTCTGATAAAAAAATATCAGAAAAACCCCTAACCTCTTGCACACATCCTGGACCATCTTAGCTATCATAGCACTCGCCAGGTTTTAGTCAGGTAACCTGGAGTCAGTCAAAAGCTGCACTCTGGTCATCCTCTAGGGGAACAGAATACTACCCTAAATGTTGATGCCGGCCTACCATTCCAGAATGAGACTTTCACCTGGTCTTTTGCCTGGTCTTAAGCTTGGGATAAACAGATAAACCTAAGCTGCCCAGCCTGCTACAGAATTTAAGAATAGTGGGTTTGATCAAGAATCTTCAAGGAAAGTTCCCTGCCTTTTTATATCTCCTTTATCTGTCTTCCTCAATCTGTTCTATTCCTCCCCACCCCACCATGAGCAGTACCCCTGATTGCCTTAGTACTGGTCCAATTTCATGTATGTGCACTTGGTCAGCAGGGATGGAATTAGAGCACTCACTTTGAATTTTTGCCAACATACTTTTCTCCATCTACCAACCATTGAAGATACCCTACAATAAAGAAAGAGCTCATGACACTACAGTGATGCATGCATGCTGATAAAGGGTATTTGGTACTATATATGAGCTATAATGACTGGTTTCTAAAACTGTGGTCTTCCTCTTATGTTAAAACTCTGTGCTAGATCTTCAAAATTGTAAATATAAATGCCATTTGGAGATTCCAGTTCAGTGGCAGGCAAACTATACACTACCTGTTGCAGCTGTCCCTTCACTCCTTAATGGAGAACAGGTGCAGATTTGGCTAGCAGTTTTATAAAGATGTGTATTCTTGGGAGTTTTTTTTAATGCCTCCTGCTTCTGGTTTGGCTAAATACAGTAGAATAATAACCTTCCCTGTGTGATTTTGGCACTTCAATCCTGGCTGGCAACAAAGTTGAAGTGAAGTGGGAAGGAGGACAAGGGAAAAGCTTCAGTAGTATCTACTGAATGCTACTGAAGTTTAGTTCCTGTAAAGTTTTAGAAAAGGGAAGCTGTTTTCCTAGCTGGTTCATACTTCCCTAATTTGTACTGTTTTCAGTGGATCAACAGCTGCTAACTACTGCAAAACAATCTGCAGCTTTACAACCTAGATAAGTGAGGCAATTTAATCTTGAAGATAGTCTCTGTCTTTTCCTTGTTATTCTCAGAGGTGCAACCCACTACTGAGAGTCCTAGTGTGTCACTGCCACCTGTTCTGAAGCAAGAAATCAGAAGGCAACATTACAGGCTCTTAAAGAAGTAGGCCAAAGCGCACATTGATGAACTTGATGGGAGGCTTGAAATCAGTGCTGGTAGTATTGAGGTGCCTGAATCCCATTGTAAGGCAGTGGTAGGATGACCCTTTCCCAAGATTTTCATCATCTTATCAGGAGAAAAAGCAGCTTCCTACAAGCTTTGTTCATTGTCAAAATCCTTCTCCCCTGTCCCTGTTCTTGGCAGGCTTGCTTGCTCTTGACAAAGCTTATAATGCTGCTGCCACCTGTGCTTGTCTCCTATATTTAATTTGGCACCCTGCACCTTTCTCCTCTGAGTAGGTTTTAATGAGGAAATCATAACTGAAAAGACATCTGGGCTGACAGCAGCAAGAGCACCATTTTCAGGGTTATCCTTGAAAGAATTCTCCTTTTTGTCACCCTGCCTGTGGTACTAGCTCTCACCCCACTGGGATTGTACATGTAGTCAGTCAGTATGCACCCTGATGGAGTATCTCTTGGCACTATATGTATGTTTCTTATTTGGTTTCTGTTCATTACTGGCACCCCCTTGACTTTTCCTCCATTCCACTCCTGCCCTTGAAAGCACAGTTGCTCTGCTGGAGGTGCCCATGCTGACTCCAGACTAGTGCCTATATACCATCTGCAGAGTCCACCAGGTCTTTTAGCACAGTGAGTCTTCTCTTCTGCTCTCTTCTGGAACAATTCTTCCATCTCTAACCCCCTCTAACAGATGCTTGGATTGCCATTGGCTAGCACTTTGTGCCCTGGACAGCATAAATTTTCATGACATGGCAAGTAAGGGGTGTGTAATCACCACTACATATTTCACTCTTGCTATTGAGAAAGATTATGTAACCTTTGCAGATATCCTGCATTCATCCTTCCTCAGCCAGAGGTCCTGAATCTGTTCCCAACCTGGCTTCTCACCCCACTGCAAGTGGTATTCTCCTCACCTCAAGGCAGCTGAGATAAGGTGGAAGAATTCTACAGAGCCCTGTGCATCCCAAAGGCAGACAGTACAAAGGCATTGTCTGCCTTTGCAGTAGCCCTGTCTATTATTGCTGCTACATTTTTTCCAGTTAAAACATCTTGCTGCATGATCAGGACTATACAGTACTGTGGTGAATGAGGAACTTAACCAAAGTGTTCTTTTATGCTAAGCACAAGGAAATAGTTGGTTAAAATATTCTGTATGTGTTTGGTTTGCACGTATTTTGCCTTTGCCCTGCAGCCTTGTAATGGAAGATTATACTGATTTACAGTTGAAGCAACAGGTGGTACTCTATGTACGGTGACTCAGCTATCATTGAAGTTACCTCTTCTGTCTGAGTTCTAGCCAGTACTGATTATGAAGATTCATATTATCTTAAATAATTCGTAGAATGCATATGACTAGAGCTGGTCACATAATATTCATCAAAAGGTTATTTCAACAATTTGCATTACATTTTTCTTACAAAATAGTAGCGATACTTTTCATTATTTGCTCAGCTCTGCCCATCATTTTAAGAGCAGCAACATGCAGTACCAAAAATAATGATGCATTAACTAGATGGAACAAGCCCCCAGCGCTCAGTTTCCTCTCCCTGTTCCTACCCAGAGAGAAAGCTAGAAGTAGGAAAATTTTAAGTGTTGAGTAAGAGGGAAAGATTTAGAGCAACTTCTGTGACATTGAACTAAGGCTAGCAATGTTATTCTGCAGTCAAGGCCCTGTCTTGGAGTAAACTTTGGCCATCCTTGCTCAGTCCTCAGTCCTGTGGGTTCTCTAAAGTGCTAACTGTGCCTGTTTACCCCTTAGGATGTGGTGGTTGTTGGGGAAGAAAACTTCACGACCCCATGCTATATTCAGCTGGACTCAGAAGCTTGCCATATCCTGACAGAAACACTCAGCACCTATGCCTTGGTGGGACAGTCGATCACAAAAGCAGCAGCAAAGCGGCTCAAACTGGCCATCTTTGGGCCAGTGTCCTGCTCATCACTGGAATACAGCATCCGAGTCTACTGCCTGGATGACACTCAGGATGCCCTTAAGGTAATGGCCTCCCTCTTTAATCAGCTAGAGGTGTCTGGATCGCAGTAATAGCAGTGAATAGACCCTTCAGTAGTGTGCTGTTTATTGTAATTTCTATTCCCTAGTCTATATTTTTTGATTAGGGGAAGAGCTTGACAACAAGCCACTATTTTATAGAAAGAAAAAGGAAAAAAACCCACAAGTTGTCCTTTGCATAATGATTCCACTCAAATGCTGAACTATTTTCCACCCATCATTCTTTGTTCCTTTGTTTACCTGTATCATAACCTGAATTCTGAGATTTTTGCATTATTAAAAGGCCATAAGGTGCACCAGGGCTTCATTCGTTATTCATGTATTTTTAATGCTAAGTGCCAGCTCCCCAGAGATGAGGAAATGTATAAATGCCTCTTTGTAAATAGTTGATAATGATAAAAGAAGCTTCTGGGTTGTTAATCACTGCCTGCTCTTATATTGCTTTATTATACCTTTTTGTGTGCATTTTTGTGCTGGGAATTTGCAATTGAAATAAACCAAAGCTGTTGCTTTTTACAGCTATATATACCTAACTCTTGCTGCATATAATACCAGCACATATATAAGTAAGTGTGCTCCCTGCATACTTAAGAGCATACACACACACTGTATTTGTATTTATAAATTTTTGTGCATATAAATGCATAGCCTATGATGGGTGGGTGGTCATTTTAATCAATATATTAATTCATGAGTATCTTTGTATGAATGCAAGTTATACAAAGATTTTCTGTACGTTATTGTAAGATTTTCTGTAAACAAGCTTGATGCTAAGTACCTGCACTGCCAGTATCTATGCACTGTCATTTTTATGTTGCGTACAGAAGATGATTCTTAATGACTTTACTTGGGGAACAAGCCTTAGACATGTCTGTGTATGTAAACTGCCTGGGAAATGTTTGTATTTCTCAGAGCACTGAGTTTCATTGTCACTGGTACATTCCATTTTTATATCAAATACTTTTTGGTGTCATATATTTTAGGGTATTACAGTTTAGTATCTCTGCCACTTGGGTACTGAGAGCCCTTTCTATAGGTCCCACCATTTCAGCAAAGTGATGGGCTGAAGGGTAGAGGAAAGAATAGCTTTCCATGGGTGGCTGCTCAGCATTGGGCTTTGTTTCAACAGTCTTGGAGCCTGGTATAGAGAATTATGGTTTGCCAGGACTTCAATTGTCCTTATCTCAGTATGATTTTCCCCAAAATTGGGAAGAGGGGCTTCTATACCAAGCACCATCTTTCAAAAGCTAAGGTCCCTTTTATGCCTGGACTTCTTTGGGTACATGTGGGATTTTCTATATATTTGTTGAGACCTGAGATGAACATAAGTAATTCAAAGCAACCTGAAGCAAGCACTGGGTTTTTTTGAATGCTGCTATGAGTTTCAGAGTAGAAGACTTGAGCAGTCAAAGATGAATTCAAATAGGCCTTGTCTTTACTACTGTCCTTCACCATGAACATTTTCAGTATTTCTACATTCAGAGGTTTATTGCATTAGACCCCGTATCAGGATCTCTCTCGTGCTTTCTGCCATCAGACTAATCTCTCTAACTGAAAAAAGGCTTATGCCACCACCCAGCAGCTGGCAGAGGTCACATTTTGACACTTCTGTGCCTACTGTCAACTCCTGGGACTCATTGTCCCACTGCTTCATGTGCTGCAAGGGGGTGCTGGCTGGGGCACACAGTCCAGGGGGTGCTGGCTGGGACCCCAGCCAGCCAAGGAGTGACACATGGAGATGGGGAAGCAGGCAACTCCTCCATGTCCGCATACTACAGTTCCCACACTGAGACACCCCGCACCCAAGCCAGCCACTCCCATACAGGTATTTCTTCTGGACTGAACTAATGCAGTCCCTGGCTGACTGGGGTGCAGGGTGCCTCAGTGTGTGGGGGTGGTCCATGTGCCTCCATGCAGGAGCTGCTTAATGGAACCCCCATGCTGAAGCACACAGAAACAGTGGAGCAGCCAGTTCAGGGCTGCCTGCTTCCCTGTCCTGAGGTACACTGCACCCCAGCCAGCCAGGAAATGGTAAATCCTGGTAGCAATTTTTTCCCGCCTCCAACACTGCAAATTAGCAGCACCACACACAGTTTAATGTGCAATGTGTGTGGTTTGTGGTGCTGCAAAGAGGTTTGTAGTGCACAGACCACACGTGCCCGCCCATCTGATTCCAGCCCCAGGGTCTACTTTGCCTGTAGCACATGACAATGGAGTCACATAGAGTCAAATGGGAGCCACCAGAAACCATACAGACATGAAGCCATACACACTAGCAGCTTTCTTGTGGTGTCTGCTTTTGCTGCCAGAAGTTATGGTGGCTGAAGCACCCATATGCTCTGTGCCCTCCCCAAAAATACAATGGTATTTCCTGCTTTCTCCTACTTTCTCGTACAAAAGATAAGCACTTCATTTTCCAGTCAAAAAGCCTGAGGCTGATTCAATTCAATCTTTGCAGGTTAGTCTAAGCTGTGTAGATTGATCTGATAAGCAAGTAAACAGGCATTCACTTTTAATCCTGGAAATGCAGCCACATGCCTGCAGTGGCTCAAGCCAAAAGCTGGAGGGTGCTAGAACATGCCTCCCTGCTTGGCTACAGCAAACAGCCTGGGCAAGGCCAGCACATCCACCCTGTGAGGGAGGGGTTGCAGGGGATGTGCAAAGCATCCTGGGATGCGGGGGGACTATGAGTTAACTTGAATCTGGAGGGGATCTGGAACAGAAGTTAATAAACTGATTTAATCAGTTAAGTCTGATACTATATCCATACAGGTTTATCGTCAAATGGTTCCAGCCATTTTGAAAGTGGTTTATGTGCACTGAACTTCTGGGCTAGGGACAGACATTTTAAAAGTCTGAGCCTGAAATGATTCAGTCTTTGCAGGTTAGTTTAACCTGGCTAGACTGAGCCAGTTTGTAACCATACAGACATTTTTTCTGGACTGAAGAAATGCAGGCAAATGCCTGCACTGGCTCTGACTAGAAACCAGTGGGACTCTAAAGCATCCCTCCCTACCTTTCCACAGTGCTGAGCTGGGGGGGGGGCGGGGAGGGGCTTGGCCAGGCCCCAGGAGGATGCTCTGATTAGGGAGAGATTGTCTCCACCCCTCGCTGCTCCTGATCAGCTAGGGAACTAGCAGGGAGTTACACGGCATTTAGTTACACAGCAGGAAGTTACACAGGGAGTAACATAGCATTTAGCACCCCATCAAAACAAACAAAAGCCTCTCATTAGTTCAAGCTCTTCTTGAACAACTTTTTCCCAGGAAGGAACAGAGGGACATTACCAGCTACCTGTTGATTAGTTCCAAAAAGCACTAAGCGGACACTGTCCTGTCTACCTTTGTGCTGTCTGCCTTACACAGACACCTCTCAACATTAGCTAGCATACCACATTCTGGCTATGGCCCATCCTGTGGGAGAGGGGAGGGGGGAATTCCTGCTTGATCAGCGAGTGGTGAGAGGGGCTCAGGAGGAAGCCAGGGAGATGCCACTGTGCCTGCAGTCTCTGCCAGAGCTCCAGCAAGGGAGCAGAGAGGTGGGGCAGCCCTGCTGTGGAACAGAGAGCCCTGCCCAGGACTGCAAAACATCTGGGATTCTGGGGGACTCTTGTTTAATTTAAACCAGGAAGGGGTCTAAAACAGACATTGCGTAAACCGGTTTCACACAAATCAGTTAAGTCTGATACTATATTCAACCAGGTTTATCTCAAACCAGTTCCAGTTATTTTCAAACTGGTTTATGTGCACAGAATGTCTGTTCTGTTGCAGGGTTCTGATCACTTAAACCAGTTTGTCTAATGTCTGTCCCTAGCCCTGTTGTGTTACAGATTTGAACTGGTTTCCCATCACATATACCAGTCTATGTGTAATTTCTGTCCCTAATCTTGATGTCTTCAGCTCAAGAATGTATCCCATTGTGGAAGGTGCGCTTTAACCAAACCAAAATTATCCAGTAGTAAACTTAATTTATTAGACTTAGCGCAGTGTTAACTGCATTAAATTTAAAGGGCTATGATATATAGGAGTTAAGACTCCTAAACAATCTCCTGGCCTTAAACTCTATGAATCAGCTTCCTCAAAAATAAAGAGGTTATATAAGAGAAAAATGGGCTAGCTTCTAAATGAATACAATAAGATTTATAGCATTCATAGATCTGACAAGGCCCTATGTGACAAGGCCCCATTGCTGCAATGTTCTACCACAAGTAGAAATAAAAGTCATTAAATGACTAAACTACATGTTGTACACTTGGGTTGATGCTATCATTTTGTACTGCCATCTCTGAGACCTAAATTTGAGTTTGGACTCCAGTCTCTTGCACTGTAGAATGATGGGACTGGGAATGTGTTGCTTATGGCAGCTCTTATGGCCAACTGATGAGCATCACTGTTGGGCTGCAGAAAAATTTTATGTTTTTTATCCATATTTGAACAGTGCCTGGCATAGTGGGCCCCAAGTGCATGACTGAGGCCCTTTGGCTCTGTGACAGTGTAAATAATAAGAGGGGATTTTAGAACATAATGGGAAAGATGGCAGTTGTTTCCTGGTACCTTAATGGATGGGGTGAAAAGTTGGAGGGTGGGAATAAGGGCAGCTCAGAGCTTTGACAGATTTTAAAAAATCTCAAGTCTAAAAAACAATTTGTGGCTTGGGAATCTGAGAACAGTGGTAGCCACATTTGAGATACAGGGTGGAATTCCTTAGCTTCCCTGGGGAGAGGTTGTTGAACCCGCATCCTTCACAGCGGTGTGACTGAAATTATGTTATATTAAATGTGAGTTGAGTAGCAAATAAAAGGGTTGGGATTTGGGGACGAAAGGGTAAGATCATCTATTTTTTTCTCCTTACACCTTTTGTTGAGAGCCAAGATTGTGTCAATAGACCAATTGCTCTGACTTGATGAATAAGGCAATTGTTTTCACATTGAGACATCTGAAGTTTGGCATAGCCTTTGATGAGGTTATGCATTTATTTTAATAGGC